TTAGATCCACGTCTACAGACCAACATTAGTCATACAAGTTATAGTTACTACTGTAGAAGCAACTTTAGTTACATCTCACACGTCCGATGCCTCGTTTGCTATCTTTTCACGCGTCTCACGCACCGCTGTCGTGAAATCCACTTCAACAGACCAACATTAGTCCTACAAGTTATAGTTACTACTGTAGAAGCAACTTTAGTTACATCTCACACGTCTGATGCCTCGTTTGCTATCTTTTCACGCGTCTCACGCACGCTGTCGTTAGATCTACGTCTACAGACCAACATTAGTCCTACAAGTTATAGTTACTACTGTAGAAGCAACTTTAGTTACATCTCACACGTCTGAGGCCTCGTTTGCTATCTTTTCACGCGTCTCACGCACGCTGTCGTTAGATCCACGTCTACAGACCAACATTAGTCCAACAAGTTATAGTTACTACTGTAGAAGCAACTTTAGTTACATCTTACACGTCTGATGTCTCGTTTGCTACCTTTTCACGCGTCTCATGCACCGCTGTCGTTAGATCCACTTCTACAGACCAACATTAGTCCTACAAGATATAGTTACTACTGTAGAAGCAACTTTAGTTACATCTCACACGTCTGATGCCTCGTTTGCTACCTTTTCACGCGTCTCACGCACCGCTGTCGTTAGATCCACTTCTACAGACCAACATTAGTCCTACAAGATATAGTTACTACTGTAGAAGCAACTTTAGTTACATCTCACACGTCTGATGCCTAGTTTGCTACCTTTTCACGCGTCTCACGCACCGCTGTCATTAGATCCACTTCTACAGACCAACATTAGTCCAACAAGTTATAGTTACTACTGTAGAAGCAACTTTAGTTACATCTCACACGTCTGATGCCTCGTTTGCTACCTTTTCACGCGTCTCACGCACCGCTGTCGTCAGATCCACTTCTACAGACCAACATTAGTCCTACAAGTTATAGTTACTACTGTAGAAGCAACTTTAGTTACATCTCACACGTCAGATGCCTCGTTTGCTACCTTTTCACGCGTCTCACGCACCGCTGTCGTGAAATCCACTTCTACAGACCAACATTAGTCCTACAAGTTATAGTTACTACTGTAGAAGCAACTTTAGTTACATCTCACACGTCCAATGCCTCGTTTGCTACCTTTTTCACGCGTCTCACGCACCGCTGTCGTGAAATCCACTTCAACAGACCAACATTAGTCCTACAAGTTATAGTTACTACTGTAGAAGCAACTTTAGTTACATCTCACACGTCCAATGCCACATTTGCTACCTTTTCACGCGTCTCACACACCGCTGTCGTGAAATCCACTTCAACAGACCAACATTAGTCCTACAAGTTATAGTTACTACTGTAGAAGCAACTTCAGTTACATCTCACACGTCCGATGCCTCGTTTGCTACCTTTTCACGCGTCTCACGCACCGCTGTCGTGAAATCCACTTCTACAGACCAACATTAGTCCTACAAGTTATAGTTACTACTGTAGAAGCAACTTTAGTTACATCTCACACGTCCAATGCCTCGTTTGCTATCTTTTCACGCGTCTCACGCACCGCTGTCGTTAAATCCACTTCAACAGCAGAGCAGCATTAGTCTTCTTGTGATTGTAGTCCTTTCTGATTGTAGCTTGTTCAAGAATTTGTTGATATTATCTAAACGGGGTTTACATTTTACGCTATATGTTTGATAATAAAAAGAGTTTACCCATTATATCCTGCCATGCAATATAAAAAAGTTTATGGTATAACGAAGCTAGATAAAAAACATACATTTTACAACGACCCGAGACCTCATTATTTACTATTGATTGAGAGTGCTCATGGAATCCAATTATGATGTATTGCAAATCTTCAATTAAAATGTTGTAAATTTTTTCCACCTATTCCTACTTATCATTATGAAACCCTACAACATTATTCACCGAATACATTATCGGATAAATGCTTTTCGTCATGTTAAAATGTAACGTTTACCCATCACCAAAGTGGGTGATAAATTTAGTTAATTATTTCTGGCAATAATGCACAAAGAAAATATTTAGATTTAGCAAAATAGAAAACCAATGCCACATTTGCTACCTTTTCACGCGTCTCACACACCGCTGTCGTGAAATCCACTTCAACAGACCAACATTAGTCCTACAAGTTATAGTTACTACTGTAGAAGCAACTTCAGTTACATCTCACACGTCCGATGCCTCGTTTGCTACCTTTTCACGCGTCTCACGCACCGCTGTCGTGAAATCCACTTCTACAGACCAACATTAGTCCTACAAGTTATAGTTACTACTGTAGAAGCAACTTTAGTTACATCTCACACGTCCAATGCCTCGTTTGCTATCTTTTCACGCGTCTCACGCACCGCTGTCGTTAAATCCACTTCAACAGCAGAGCAGCATTAGTCTTCTTGTGATTGTAGTCCTTTCTGATTGTAGCTTGTTCAAGAATTTGTTGATATTATCTAAACGGGGTTTACATTTTACGCTATATGTTTGATAATAAAAAGAGTTTACCCATTATATCCTGCCATGCAATATAAAAAAGTTTATGGTATAACGAAGCTAGATAAAAAACATACATTTTACAACGACCCGAGACCTCATTATTTACTATTGATTGAGAGTGCTCATGGAATCCAATTATGATGTATTGCAAATCTTCAATTAAAATGTTGTAAATTTTTTCCACCTATTCCTACTTATCATTATGAAACCCTACAACATTATTCACCGAATACATTATCGGATAAATGCTTTTCGTCATGTTAAAATGTAACGTTTACCCATCACCAAAGTGGGTGATAAATTTAGTTAATTATTTCTGGCAATAATGCACAAAGAAAATATTTAGATTTAGCAAAATAGAAGTAATTCGTATACCTTCATGGTTAAGCACAGTACTGTAAATATACGAAGATAATACAAATTAACATTGGTACTCACTTATTGATACTTATTGTGTTTGTTTGGTTAATCTGTTTTTATTGAATTGATAATCATTTTGGAATACAAAAAACATAAGTATCTATCATGGACATACATTCGTCAGATTTATATATAAGGAGCAAATATAACGATTAAACTACTAGTTCATACAGCTAAACACGTAATTAAAACGAATAATATTAAAACAATGTTCACTGCACTTTGTTTAGAACTCTAGCAATGCCGTAATTAATTAAAGTTCACTAGTTAGTTTATAAATTAAACTCTCCCACTGATTCGAGACAGCCGAAGTTTTAACTAAGCGACGGCCTCAAAAGAAAGTTCACCAGTATGATTGTAAAGAGGATTCTTTTTGTTTTATAATCTGAGAACCAGAGTTTCTCATGTAATTAATCATTACAGCGATTCAGCTCGAGCCAAAGTTTTGTAAAGAACGATTAAAATGCCATCTTAATTAACGGGACGCGCTTGCAGTTTTAATGTAATCTTCGTTATCAATCAAAATATCATGTGACGTTTTATAAAAGGAGCAAGTGCATTTTCACTAAGATTAAAACCGAGTGTCAAGTTTTATTCCCATTTTACCGTAAACAAAATTTTCTAAAAAAAAATACCCAGTTAGAGTGATATTTCTTTATTTTCTAGGTTGTTATCCACCAATAAATATGAGTTTAAATTTATGATTACCAAATATAGTGAAGCTTACATTTACCAATTTCCACAATAATACCTCAAAGAGCTTCAAATCACATTCACCAGCAATGGACTTTCAACTTAAAACCTAAACGGAATTTAGAGTTAATTCCTTCGGGAGGTAGAACACTATAAAGTGATATAGTGAGATAGAATTGTTTATAATTGAAATATACACTCTATTTCTTATTACCCTTGCATTTAGTTACTCTATGTATTATTGAGATAAGTCTAACCCATTCAAAGAGCTATTTACTATCCAACAGCATGGGCTTACTACCGTATACTTTACTAGCTATCGACGATACGTCAAAAATGTATTAAACACATTAGTGTGCTTTTTATAGCGATTTTGGAACTAAGAAAACTTTAGCAGACTTGAAGGTAAACTAATAGGAATATTTTTTTTTTTAATTTTACTACTATTTACTTAAACAGGTTAAAATAATATTCAGTAAACTAATTGTATATTGACATAAGTAATACTGTATGTCGATATATTGTAGTAGTGTGAAATTTGTCGCGTCTCTACACCTTGGCGTAAAAAAGTGGCAAACGTAACAGAAAAACTAGGTCATCTCGCAAAAGGGTGGAAACATCAAAATTATATTATCAACATGTATAGTTACATCATCTATTGGTGGTTTATATTCACACTATGTTTTGAAAATACATTAAATATGTAATAAATCCGAAATTCGAAGATTTTTTACATTGGCTTGCAAAAAGAAAGACAAATGTAAAACCAGGATTTTCATCCAACAGTTTGTCTACAGGTTGTCTAAAATTTCTACAAACATATTATGTTTGGAAATTGTATTAATGTACATTATAAAATAGTGTTATCGTAATTTGCATGCTTTGACCGCACGAAATTTTACACCTGAACATAGAAAGAGGGGTGAACGTAAAATAGTCAATCAGGTCATTTTGCAAACAGTTAGTTACTTAGAATTGAAATTATCAACAAGAGATAGTTAGTACAGCTATTGGTGGTTTACACACACAAATATTTTCTTAAAAATTCATTATATGCATATGCAAAATATGAAGAGATATTCGACAAGACTTTTGACACCTTGGCATCCAAAAAGAGCGGCAAACGTAAACTTAACCAACGTACAAATTGAAGCGATCAAGATACAGTTAGCACAACAATAGGTGGTTTATATGCACAAAAGAGTGGCAATATATAAACCATCAGGTCAACTCACAAACAGGTAGTTACCCCTGAATGAAATTATCAAAAGGGTACATTTAGTACATCTATATTGGTATTGGACTATGTGTAGCTTTGTACCACATGTTTTGTATGTCGGGTATATTTGTGGGAGGGTTGTGTAGCTATGTAACCTGTGTGGGGTGGTAATATCCAGAATAAACCCAAGACCGGCACTTGACCCGCACCAACCCGCACACTCAGAGACTAGCCGGGGACTGAACAGTGAGGAGAAAATACAGTCTCACGCCCGCTATTGATCCCACACCCAGGGCTGCCAACCCTGTACACGACCGTTAAATTTACCCTCAGTTTCCCTTTCAATACGTATACTTTCTATTGAGGAAAATGTATACGAGCTCGGAAAACCGGGGGGTGGGAACCAGGCGTGCCGTTGAACCAGCGACCACAGAGTACAAACTAAAAAACAAAAATTAAAACAAAATTTGTACTATGTGGTCGCTGTGTTGAACACGGGACCCACATGCGGAATCAGTTTTAAGGGTTTATATCATAGATAAAACATACTCCTCAAGTTTATGCTTACGAATAGATTGGATAACTTTCTCTCTGCCGAATAAGTTTAATTTGTGAATATGAACACGAATGGTTATGAATTTAAATCAAAGTTTACGGTTGTTTAAGCTAAAGGAGGTTAAAAATTAAGTGAAGTGGCGAAATTTGTAATGACAAATAATGAAATAATGCAAAGTCTATTCAATGTTTGGTATCTCCCTAAATAAAATTGTTGAGTATTTATATTTAAAGCAACTGAAATTTATTAAAAGTAATTTTATATTTAGAATAAACCTAATTTTTATTTTAGGATAAAAAGTGCAGGAAATAATAGAAACCAAATATAAACATTTTTTGAGAGTCTGTTAATAGTGTATAAACAATATTAGGTAGTGAAAGTAAACTACAACTGAACATGTATAATAAATAATTACGCTAATTGATAAATTTGATACAATAACTAACGTAAATCCTCTGACGGTAGAATACAACGAACAGATCCTCAATCAGGTCAAATCATTGAAATAGCACATTTCAAATTACACCCTGTGAGGATGTGTAGGCCTATAATGATCTAATGAATTATTTTCTAATATTTTGCTGTACGAATATACAAAAATTATAAGAACTAACACGAGGCTGAAAGTTCCTTACTTTCAGCACATAATCGGGTACAATTCCCACTTTGCCCGTCAACAAATTTGGCAGAGCCGGGCATCCAACAGTTGTGAATTCCACCCGCCCCCACACCCACCAATCGAAACATGCCCGTCTTATCTCGCATCACAGAGTATTAATTTCATTTCACGATACTGTGGCCACGTTATAATCTGTCGGTTATATTGGCCTATTCGGATACAATTTGGCACGGGGATGTGGTGCTGACGGCTTGGTTATGGCTCAATATCACGGTTTGCGACTAGTCTTACAAGGGCTGTTTAATACTGCTAATTTAATACTGCTGGCTAATTTAATACTGGTGAATAATTTTAAGATCGTTAGCCTTCCCCTACGAAGAGGATACCACTGTTGAATTACTGAAGTAAAGCGGGGGAATGAAATGTGAACAATCAGGCCTAAACTATGCTCTAAAACATATGAAAATATAGTCTAAGAGTTTAGGGTTAAACCACTTTTAGGGGAGGGATTAAATAAACGTTTACTTATTTTATAATTTGATAAAAAGATTACTGGTGCCAAGCTCTATTAGAATACACCTAGCGTGTAATCTGTATATAAAATAATTTATAATATACCAATAACAATATGGGGACAATTTGTTCATAAATAGTGTGCATGGGGTTTTAACTTATAATATTCTTGATAAAAAATAAGAAGCTATAATTTGCATACTTGAAAAAATTCGATATTAGAAAAAGAATATTATTACAATATCAAGGAAACATAAATGTATCTAACCTCTAAAACGAAATGTGAATCCTAATACTTTTATAGGGCTCCTCAGTTTGACTTTAATGTTCAACAATAAATTCTACTAATTTCATTCGATAGGATTCCACACAAAAACCTTTCTTAAGAAGGTTGAATAAAAATTATTTCGATTTACAGTCTATAAGGAACCATCTATTGATTATCGTTGTAAGTCTCTTTCTGTGATGTATTAGTTATCATTTGAATTTGTATCGACTAGTACCTTGTCCCTTGTTACTGTGTTAAAATGTGTAGAAAATAAATAAATGTGGCACTCTGTACGCTAACAATCCTTTCCAATCTAACCTCAAAAGTTTGTGTTTGGACAATGACGGGAAAATAAACAAGGCAGTAATGAACCGCGGGAAAACTAGAGAGATTGCGTTAGACAAAAGCCACGTGATCTACACCAGTTCACCTCCATGGTTGCACTCATTAATTTTGTTTTATCTCTATTGGCCACCTTACTTTTATTGGAACTAACGTGGCTAACAGCCTAATTATTATGACAAGCAATTTGGAAAGTAAAATAAGTAAATAAGATGAGAATCATTATTCTTTGTTGAAAAACGGCAAACTGACAGTTATACTCAAGGTTTCACAATTGTAGCTTTGGGTTCAAAATAATTAAAAGATTTGTAGTTGTTATGCTAGCTAACGACACATAAACAATGGACAACTAGTTAATTTGTATTTGAATATTACATATAGTGCACAAAACGTTGTTTTATAATACTGTTTGCTGTGAAAAATAATTTTTAAGTGAACGAAATAAACTTAGCCTATTTATCATATCCCTACATTTATATAAGAAAATGTAATTTAAAAGTTAAGTTATACGTGCACTATAACACCCAAGTCCCCCAATATTTACCTGAACTCATCTTACGCACTGAGATGGATAAATTTAAATTTCGGAAATTAAAACTTGACAAAACAGAAAATCCGTTATGTTGCTGTGGCGCAATACTACAATTTCGATAACCAATAAGTAATATTAGTAAGTAAAGTAACTCTAGTAACAATAAAGTAAGTATTAATAACTCTACCTAGTCGGCGTTATCATAGTACTGTATAAGCGAAGCTATTTTTCACATAAATGGCTTAGCACCTTGGATATAACTTTGTAAAGACAAAATCTTTTTATAGTTGTATCTGAGACGTCATAATAACACAAAAGGTCAAACCATGGATTTTTGCTACTAAAGTAAACATAAAATCTAAATGAACCAGTTGAAGTCAAGTTTTCAACCCAAAGTAAACAAAGTTGAATGACTATCCTAGTGAGTTGAATGATTCTATCCTATTGTGTGCAATCCTCAAAATTCTTTTCCTCCCTTGGTTCATAATATTATAAGGTAAACGCACCAGTAGCTGACAGTATAAGAAACTATACGCACTTAATAATCCGTGGTTTTGAATAAATAGGAACTAAAGAGATATTGCGGATTTTATGTGATTCTAAATTTAGTGTAGTTTTCAAATTTGTCATACAAAAAGGGTTTTTTAAATATATTTTATAACATTTTTAAACTTAATTCAACCTTTGTACGTGTTCCAGTGGCTGACAGTGAAAAAAGTGCTTGTACCAGTAGCTGACAGTCAGTTGTCCCAGTAGCTGACACTGGAACTATACATGTACTAGCTGCTAAACCTAAGGGTTTTATAATTTATAAGACGAATAAAATCTAACTTAATAATTAAATTATAAAATCATGTAAAACGTTGTTAAGAAAATTTATTTTACATATTTTAAAATAAAAAATGTTTACATAAAAAAAAAATTTATTTTTTATTTATATTAAAAACATATATACATTTTTTTAGATAATTTGGCTTATTAATTAAAAAATTAAAATCATTTTATAAAATTGTGAGATCACATAAATTATAAATAGCATGCAAATTTCGATGGGTAAAACCAATTTAATATATTGTGCAAGTAGCAAATATCCCCTGTCAGCTATTGGAACTTGTATGGCTTTTGTGTACCAAAGCCTGACATTGATATAATTTTAAATCCAAAACCCCTAACGCCCCAATTTTTTCATGAAATTGTCAACAAAGGTATAATTGATCAAAATAATGAGCCTAATCATTAATACTATTTAAGAAATTTAGCGAAATGACAAAAAACCAAACTAACTTTCTTAACAATTTCATTAAGGGAATCGACTAAATGTGATGTGTACGGACAGGGTCGCTTTCAAACCACCACCATTCCGCAAGTATGGGCTAAATTTAACTGATTTTTTTGTAAACAAATCAAGAATAAACATATGTTCTTCTAACAATGCAATCATGTGTAAATATTTTTAAGAGACCACATTATAATGTAAAGAAACTCAAACTGTCAGCTACTGGAGCACTGTCAGCCACTGGTGCATTTACCTTAATACTTTATATGACTACAGATATTGTATGGTCTACATTGAGTTGACTTCCCTTATTTTTATCCTTAAATTATACAATTTGAACGTAGGATCCTAGTTATTTACTTCGTCAAAGATGATACTGAAGGAGGTTTTTCATAACTTAAATTATCTCTGGTGTCTAGCTGGCTAAAGAATCCATGCGATATTTTTGCGTAGTACCATTCTCATTTCTCATCCCTATGGAACAGCTGAAGCCAATTTTATTCTTAGTTCTGTCCGGTGCACTTTAGAGGTCGTGTTTTGTTTACAACTTGTTTCTTGTTATTTCAGTAATTTAAAACCTCTTTACCAAATAAAATGATATTATCATAAACAATAACTCGTCTATTAGTTATACAACCAAACAGTTAAGTACCAACCATGAAATTTACCCTAAAATGATACAAACACAATTTTGTCGATACTAGCGATCAGTGTCGCCGGACATGAACTAGACACGAAAAAACGAGGTTCAACGTTCACAATGGGATGAGAAATATACTTGTGTTGATTAGTCTATAGTAATGCCTAAGAGTGTCTTTCGTCACGAATGTGATCAAACTGAAAGCGGGATTGAAGAGATGAAGTTTTTATTTTCGCCGAGTTGTGCGTTTGACAACTCGCCAGTTGAAGTGTTAAGCCTTTGGCGAGTGTTCACAAAACAACGATCAGCTGTCAAGTGATCCCTTCATCTACCTCAGGTTGAAGACTGATTACCTAACTGTGGTTGGCTAACTTGATATCAGCTCAATGATAATAGATCATCAGTGATACAGTGAAGATTGTGGTCTTTAGTGGGTTAAAACTCGTGCTAGTCCACGTAGG